AGGGCTCTCAGATCTGTTTTCTTTTAGTATCTTGCTCTCCTATTGCTAGACATTCTTCCTAGCTGGAGATCAGAAGCGGGGGAGAAGGAAGCTGAGAGGGGAGCACTTCTCCCAAGCGAGGGGCGGGCGTGGGCCATGCGGGTGCATTGCCAGGTGTATGCTCAGTGCTGTGGGCTGTTTTTACTGAAAGGTGTCCGGGTGTGGGGGCAGAGCTCTGGGCTCTCATGAGATGTGTCATGCTATCTCATTTTCTCCACTGAGCTGAATTCTGTAAGCAAACTAATGAAACCAAGCTCCCATTTCTTGCATCAGAGAGCCTGGCAACCTTGGTAAATAATGCAAATAGATTATATAAACTGCTCTACATTAAAGAAATGATATCTGCTTATCATCACATGCATTTTTTGGGGATGGTTGAATACTCCCCAGTGAAAGAAACACAGCAGTGTAAAAAAATATCCGTCTAAGGAAATTCACTGTGGGTATGGATCACTGGCTAGCATAAGATAGAGAATGAGATAAAAAGGAGGAGATTTGGTAAGTGAAGGAATTCAAGCCTTCAGCAGTAAGAAGGGAATTAAACAAAGGCTGCATATATTTTGCCACCCGCAGCACTCTGGAGCAGTGGTTAGGGATGAAGCAGACTACTAAAAAGAAGTTCAAGAAAATTATAGGGCTGTATCCAGAGCAATGCTCTGAAAAACAGTAAAGATGCAGAGGAACAAGTGATCTAAATCTCTCTGGCTTTCTGTCAGAGCAAACCTGGTCATTCCAGTGGATCTCTCTTCGAAACTGTGGGATCATAGGATTTTCCAGGAAACAATAACAAGGACAGAGGTGAAGTCATAGGCTTCCAATTCTAATGATTTGCTGGACATAGGAATGATCCTTGTATGTTTTACACTCCCATTTTTCTTACTGGAATAATTTTAAAATGATTCCTTTAATAAAGCGTGTGAATTTGAGAATTGAAATTGGAAATGATGCCAAACGAATGGCAGAGAGAGCTCACAGAATCCTCATGGAATGCTGGAGTGGTTTGGGTTGGAGGGGCCCTTAAGGATCATCTCGTTCAGGGACACCTGCCCCAGGCAGGGACACCTGCCACTCTGCCAGGTTGCTCCAAGCCCCGTCCATCCTGGCCTTGGCCACTTCCAGGGATGGGGCAGCCACAGCTCCTCTGGGCAACCTGTGCCAGGGCCTCCCCACCTCCCAGGGAAGAATTCTCTAAGGTCCAATCTTTGCCATTTTTCTGCAGGAAGTGGGCTGTGACAGGGGAATTGTCTCCAAGGCGGCCCAGGATCGGGGCGGGCTCTGCGGCGGGGACGACTGTCACTGCTGGATGGGGAAAAGCACCTTCCCGCCCACTGCCAAAAAGCTGGGAAGGGATAACCTCTGCCTGCAGCTGCCTGGAGTTGCTGTTGGCCCTGGGCTTTCTGTGCCACTCGTGGCCACGGGCTGATGGCAGGATCGCTCCGACCTTGGGACAGATGGCCTGAGGGCCAGCCCCGGGGCCTGTGCAGGGCAGGCTGCTGCCCCTCGGCCCGTGAGCGCGAGGGGGTGTGGAGGTGTGGAGGGAATGTATTGCCTGGGCTTTGGCAATCTGGCCCCTAAAAAGACTAATTGACCTCTTTCAACAGGAAAACATTGAAGCAAGTGGTGCCAGAAAGAACTGGAGTTTCTGGAGAATAAAACCTGGAAGTATCCCCCTGAAAATCCCCCCGGGTGGTCAGTGGTCTGACTTGCACGGACCGGTGGCCTTGGCCAGGAGCGGTCCTGCGGGAAGCGCCTTTGCCCAGGCTGTAATTTTAATTTCCATTGGATGCTGGCAAAGCCCCTCTGGGTGAGCCCCAGTGCCTGGCATGAGCGGAGCGGGCTTCCAGGGCACTCCTTGCAGGCGTTGTGTTTAAGGGAAGGGCAGGGGAGCCTTTCTGTGGCCCAGAGGAGCTGCAGTGTTTCCCACTCTGGAATAATAAAAAACAAAAAATAAAAACAAAACAAGAAATAAAAGAAAATGAAAAATAAAGAATAAAAAATAAACGAAATAAAGAAGGAATGTAAAATACAAAAGAAAATTAAAGAAAAAAATAAAAGCAAGCAAACTAAAAAGGCAATAAAATGAAAAGTGAAATGAAAAAGAACCCTTCTTGGGCACCCTGTTTACTCTCCGCCCCGCCCTCCGCCCCGTAAATTGTGGGTCACTTCTAACATGTGTGAAGGGGACCCGAAAACGTGGGTGGGGGAACCCCAAGGAGCCGAAAAGGCAGCGGAGGGGAAGCCGCGAGATGTGAGGGAGGGGCCATAGAAAAGGGGGTGAGGCGCGCGCGGTGAGAAAGCGAAGCCGGGCGGCGGGGTGGAGGTGGAGCCAAGGTGGCGAAGCCGGCGCATGCGCAGTCGTTGGCAAGACGCCGGAGATCACGTGGTAAACAAGGGCGGCCATGAGAGGGACCGGCGACGCATGCGCAGTGGCTCTCGTGCCGGCGCAGCGCTCCCTGCTCAACTTAAGGGCCAGATCCGGCTGCACGGCGGGACTTGCGGTCTCCCGTCTCTCCCAGGGTGTGTGTGGGGAGAATAACATGAAGATTTTTGGGGTGAAAGCGCAGAAATTAGCGAGAGACGCTAATTTGGGTAAAGTCGGTCACCGGAAGTAGAGAGCGACGGGACTGTTTTCGACGGCGCACCACCAAAGATGGCGCCCTCCTGGACCGGAAGTCCTGCGAAGCCCATAAAGAAAGATGGCGGCACCCTGACCAGAAGTCTTCCAAGGCCGTACACAAAGATGGTGGCCCCGGCCCGAAAGTTCGCCAAGCCCACAGTAAAGATGGCGCCACCGGGACCGGAACTTAGCTCAGACAACACTAAAGATGGCGGCGAGAGGCCCCCTTGCCTCAGAGAGGCGTCTATCCTGTTGCCTGACCTCGGCCGCGACCCGGACCCCCGCCCCGCGCCCGCAGCGCCGTCTCGCCGCGCCGCTTCCCGCTATGGGGACAGGGCAGGGGCTCGGCGGCGCCGGGCGCGGGCGGCAGGTTCGTGGGCGGCGGCAGGCACCGGCGCGGGCAGCCCCCGTCTCGGGGCCGCGAGGACCCCCAGGCGAGCACGTTCCGTTCCGCTCCGCTCCGCTCCCGCTCCCGCTCCCGCTCCCGCTCCCGCCCCGCTCGGTCCCGCAGTGCCCTGGAGATGCTGTCGGGGCTGCGCCGCCGCCTTCCCCCCTCGCAAGCGACCCACGGCGGCAGATCCGACGGAGATCGTCCCTGGGGTAATCTGGGCGCCGCGGGGGGGGGCGCGGCCGCTCTTCTGCCTCTCCCGCGCCCATCGGCGACTGCAGGCAGGGGAAGCGACAGGCAAGTTTCTCGCCTCTGCGGAGAAACTCGCACCTGCGTGCCGCCGCAGGGCCGGGTTCGGATGTGCCCTGGCATTGCACACGCACCACACCCCCCCGCGGGGAGGGTCTGCGCTGCCTCGGGAACCCTGTCTGCGCTGCCGGGAGAGAGAAATCCTTTGGGAAGCTGGGCTGGAAACAGCAACTCTGTGAATTGCTCAGCTTTTCCTAGGCAAGGGCAGGTTTTAGGGAAGAAAGGCCCGTACGCGCGAAAGGCGCCGCGGGTCTCGCCAAAGGGGGGGGGCGAGGGGGGGGGCGCGCGGCTGCAGCGCCGCTTGCGGCTGCAGTGCCGTTCCCGGCCGTGTCCGCCAGGCGGCGACCGTGAGGCAGGGCCCGGCGCTCGGGGGCGCTCTCGCAAGCGACGCTTGCCCTGGGAAAGCGGCGGGCTTTGGCCACTGCCGGCCTTCCCCCGCAGTGCCCGGGCTGGCCCAGCGCCTGGCAAAACCTCGTAGGGAAAAGGCAAGCAACAACTTGCGCTTGTTCTACCGTTTCTTTAGCCAGGGACTGGAACACAGACAAAATCAAGGGGCTCTTTGACCTGTGCCATTTTTCAGCCTTCCTTAGCAGGGCATTCTCACCCTCTGAAAAGCTGAAAGGCTTTAACAGCTGGAGACGCGCCTGCAGCTGTGCAGATTAATGTAGTTTCTTTTAGGAAACGAAGGGGAAGTTTTCCTTTTGTGAGCCTAAATACCAAGTCTACTCTGCTTTTTCAATCAGGTGATGAAGCTTTTTGGTTATTCCCCAGTGTGGATCCAGCTACTTCACTGAAGCTGTAAAGGAAGAACGGCACGTGAATAGCAGAAAATGAGTTAGAAATACTGATTAATGGCAATTTCCTAGGAAGGCAAGGGGCTTAAGCATGCTGAAGGCCCTTCTACCTAAAGCTGCCTGTGTTCACCACACCAAAGTCCCACCCCAACCCAAGTGGTGGCCTGTGAGTGCCAAGTCTCAGGAAATTATTTTCCTTTGGTTTTTGTTTTACTGCAAAAGCTAGACCTGAATGAATATACTCCCATCACCTGTCTGTGCCAGCACAGACTGTGATATTCTGTGACTCTGAATTGACAGGTAGAAGGTCCAAGGGCTGAAGGAACGTGGTGTAGTGATTGGGCTCTCTACCCCATCTTGGCTCTGTATTTGCTCAGGATTTGTAGGTTCCGCATCCTAAATAGTTGCCTCACTTCTCCAAGGTTACTAAAGGCTATCCGGGGCATGTCTCCTTGCTGCCTCTGAGTGTGCAGACCGGCTCCTCGGGCGAAAGAAAGGCCCTCCGGTTGCTCCTTCCAGCTCTACCCCTGTCCCTGGCCGCTGCTGCCATTCCTGGGTGCAGCTGCCTATCCCCGCCGCGCAGCTGAGCGCTGCGGGCCCGCCCCCGCCTCACCGGGTTGGAGCGGGTTCACGGTGTACTGCGTGTAGAGCCTCCGGTGCCGCATCTCCTTGTGCACCCGCTCGCTCAGGAGCCGGTCCAGCTGCACCGCGTCCGGCCGCTCCCGCTGCCCGCCGCGGGCGGCCATGGCCGCGCCGGCCCCGCGTCCCGCTGCCTGGCAACGCCTCACGTGGGGCCCGCGGGGCCGCCCATTGGCCGGCTCGCCTTCCCGCCTCCCATTGGCCGCCGGGTTAAATCCGCCGGGCGCCGATTGGCGGCGGCGCACGCGGCGCGTTCAAACGGCCGGCGGGGCGATGGAGGCGGCGCAGTTGGCGCTGCACGGCGGCCGTGGAGGAGCCGCTTCCGGGGGGCTGCGGCCCGCGCCGCCGCGTCCTGCGGGACGCCACCGTGCTGCTGGGCCGCAACGAGTTGCGCCAGCCCGTGCTGCGGGTGGTGGGCGGCGGCGGCCGCGGTGCTGAGCTTCGCGCTGAGCGGGGACGCCGTGCGGCTCTTCACGCGGTTCGCGGCCGAGGGGCGGGCGGCGCGCAGGTCCTGCTCTCCGACTGCCCCCCGGACGCGCTGCGCCGCTTCCTCCGCCTCCTGCGGCTCAAAGTGGTCGCCGGGTCGCGGGGCCCGGCGCGCCCCCCGCGCCTGCTGGAGCGGCCGCCGGCGTCCTTCGCCGTGATCAGCCCGGTACAGCAGCGGGACCTGCTGCGCAACCCCGGCCCCCGCCGCGGCTGCGGGGAGGGGCGGGGGGAGTGCCCCGCCGAGGTGAGTCCCGGGTACCGGGCCCGGGTTCGGGCGCTGCCCTCACAGCGCACCGCTGTCTGTCTGTCCCGCAGGTGCCCCGCGCCGAGAGGCGGCCCCCGGCGCGGCTCTCGGCGGAGCAGGAGGCGGTGCTGGGAGCCGTGCGGAGCGGGAAGAGCATCTTCTTCACCGGCTGCGCAGGTGAGGGCGCCCGGCGGCTCTCGCTGGGGAAAGCCCTGGGGCCTCGCTGTTGACCTGTTGCTTCTCTCTCCTCGAAGGGACTGGGAAGTCCCTCCTGCTGAAGAGGATCGTGGGCTCCCTCCCTCCGAACGTCACCTATGCCACAGCCAGCACGGGAGTGGCCGCTTGCCACATCGGTGGCACCACTCTCCATGCCTTTGCAGGTAATGCCTGCCCGACAGCGAGGGGCTGGGAGCTTTCACTCCCTTCCCAATAAATCAGGAGCTTCCCAAAGCTTTGCTTTCTTCTCCCCTGCCAGGGATCGGCTCTGGGAAGGCACCGCTGGAACAGTGCATTCAGCTGGCGGAGAGGCCGGGGGTGCGCCAGCACTGGCTGGCCTGCCAGCACCTGATCATCGATGAGATCTCAGTGGTAGATGAAAAGTTCTTTGACAGGCTGGAGGCAGTGGCAAGGTAAGCAAACGTCAGGTCAAACAACTAACTGAAATGAATTTTCCTAAATTTCCAGGCTACTTCCTTCCTCGGGTTTTGTGAATTGTTACAAGGCAGCTGCTGGCATAGGACTGCAAGGAAGCATGGAATCATAGCATCTGGGCAGATCTTTATCATGAGATAGGTTTTGATTGTGTCCCATCTTCACTCACAGCTGTGGCTGTTCTAGTTGCTCTTTCCGTCTCCTGAGCTAAGTGTTGTCTATAGAGCTGAGTCCAGAATACAGCTGTTCCCAGAAGTTCTCTCTTGCAGAGAGAAGCAGCTGTAGCATAACAGCCACCAAAGAAAGACTGGTAATGGCATCTGGGTGGGTAAGCAAGGCAAATTTAATGTCTTACCATTGCTTAATTGTATGAGCTCTTCTGATTCAGCTGAGGATAAACATCTTTTAAATGCAGGTGGTGTATATTTGAATATCCTGACAGATTAACAAGTAACTTCTGAGATCTGAGTATGTCCAGGTTCTGGAGGACATTCAAAACTTCTCTCTTCCATCTCTTTCAGGGCAGTCAGAAAATGGGATGAGCCTTTTGTAGGAATTCAGCTAATCATCTGTGGGGACTTCTTGCAGCTACCTCCAGTTTGCAAGGCTAATGAAGAAACCAAGTTCTGCTTCCAGGTACAAAACTGCCCCTGAACTCATTCTCATACTTCAAGTCTGTCTCTTTCTTAACCAGAGAATGATTTTTGCAGGCAAAAAGCTGGAGGAAATGTATCCACATAAACATGGAGTTGACTGAAGTGCGGCGACAGACTGACAAGACCTTTGTCTCACTCCTGAGTGCAATATGTTTAGGCAGGTGAGGAGAAGCTCATCTCTTTGTAATCTCCGCTCCCCACCTATGGAGCAGAAGAAAGAGCAGTTTGTCACTTTTCTGAGCTCTATCAGGTATATGAAGCTGGGGGCAAAAGCTATAAAAGCTTTAGTTAACATAGGCAGATTTCATATATCCTGCTCTGGTAAGGAAGGACACTTTCTAGGGTTCCTCCTTGATTTCTGTGAGTTAATTCAATGAATCCTGAGCTGGCAGTGGCCAGGGCCCACACACTGGCACTGTTCTCCAACTTTTATATATCTTTCTCTGTCCTCCTCTCTGGAGGCCTGCAGCTTTCACAGACAGATCCAGCTGTGTGAAGACCTGTTCCTGATCACTTTAAAGAATAACTCCCTTTTCCTGGTTACCAGGTGCACAGAGGAGGTTACCAGGCAGCTGATGCAGACAGCTACTAACAGGTCTGAGCGTGATGGGATCCTGGCTACACGGCTCTGCACCCATAAAGATGATGTCGAAATAACTAATGAGAGACGCTTGCAACAGCTATCAGGTGAACTCCCTGGAGGAAACTGCTGGCTCTGGGGCTGAGCTCTGAGTGGATGCAGTGGGGATACTGTGGTGTCAGGAAGAACTAGTGTTCTGTCATGCATAGCAGCACCAGTCAAAGCTCTGTGTGTTGGAGTTCGGCTGCCTGGGGAAAAACTTTGGTTTTTTGGTTAAATATTCATTGTCACTTCTTGGTATGTAATAGACAGCAAGCTCATTGATTGCTATGAAACAGGGTTGGTCATTTATTGCCTCCACACCTCTGCTTTTTCTTTCTATTGCATCTTATTAAGGGCTTTCTCAACTTTTGCCTCCCTTTCTGGCAATATTTTCTGGATACTTCCTTTAGTGATCTGATGTTGGCAGCAAATGAAACTAGTCATATGCTCAAAATGCTGGCTGCTCAGTTCTTATTTACTGCTGGCCTTTGATTCCTGTGCCTTTTCATGCTCTGCAAATTCTGTTGGGAAGAGAGGCAATAGTGAGCTCTCTGTTGTTAGATGTGACAAGGTTTGTGTGAAGATGTCCTAGCAGCAGAGCAGAATGGATATTAAAAGAGAAATTGCTATTAGAAATAAATGCTGAGCCTCCTGTCATGCTGTGTATAATGTGTTCAACAGCTGCAATTTGTTATGTCTTTCTTTCCTTAACAGGAGAAGTGCACACGTTTGAGGCTTTGGATAGTGACCCAATGCTAGTGAAGTTAATTGATGCTCAGTGTCCTGTGGGTGGTAGAGTTGAGCTGAAGCTTGGAGCTCAGGTAAGTGTGTGTACATACACATGGAATAGAACAGCAGATCAAATGGTATAAGAAAAATAAAGGAATATCAGATAAATATATAGAGTAGATTAATACACAGAATGCAGATTCAATATAGAATGTCTATGCCAGGCCAACAGAAGATTCTATTCCAATCTTTTATATTTTCTCTGCTTGGAATCTTATCGAAACAGAAAATGAGTTTGATTTGAGTGCAGTCCATGTCTTGGGGACAATGATGATTGCTGTGACTTTGACACACTTTTCCAATCAGGTTTAGAAGCTTTCAGTAGCAGAGAGCATAGGCAGCTCATAGCTGTGGATGGAAGCAGCTCAAGTGAAGTGTTCAATGCTGTAAAATAGCTGGGAATCTGTCGTAGCACAGAAACTGTTGCATTTCTGTGATTTCTCCCCTGGCATGGCTGGGTGCAGATAGTAAAAATTACTGCGCCACTAAGATGGCTACTCGAGCTAAAGTTAGAACAAAGGTGGATTCATGCCAGATGCCAGGGAAGAGTTTTTGGCAGGTGAATAAAGTTTTCTCATCTCCTATGACCACCTGTTGTGGTCCAATTAGAAGGGAACAACAGAGCATGTTTTCCTTATGTAACCAATGTTGTGTGAACAAGAAGCTGAGCGTCATGAGCACTATATAATCTGTCTTTCTCCTAATAAATCCGACATTTTGCCTGATCATATTGATCCTGGAGCAATCTGTCCATACCCTTCCATCAACAGGAATCCTAGGAAGGAAAGGCTGTGAAATAATTTCAGTTGGAGATGGTGCTCTCTCCTGCAATAGGCAGGATAGGATGATATGGTCATATCAGCCTGATGTGCTTATGCTTCCTGGAAAGAAGCTTAACTGCAGGTGGCTGAACAGGCTGTAAACCCAGTGCACTGAAGGATTTTTCTTTTTCTCTGTAGGTGATGCTGGCAAAGAATCTGGATGTGTCTCAGGGGCTGGTGAACGGGGCACGAGGCGTTGTTGTAGGATTTGAAAGTGAACAGAAGGGTAAGTGAGCTTCTTGATCTCTTGTTGAAGGAAGAGGGGGAAAAATAACAAAACGATTTTTCATTGATGGCTGATGACTTCTCAACTTTGTTTACTGCCTGGTAAGAATAATTAGAGGGAAAGCAGGGAGGAGATCTCTGCAGGCTTGGGGCTCTCACCAGCTGTTATGTCATGCACTGCATCAGCTGTAGCTATCTATGGGCCTCTTGTGTTTGCTTTTCTGTGTTGTCTAGATGTGGGTGCTCACTTGCATTTCCTGTTTTCTTTTGTTCAAGCAAGTTTTTGTTTGTTTTTTCTCAAAGAATAATGTTCTGCTACCTGCAATGTGTATTTTTCTCTGCATCTCAGCTGATAAATTACCTGACTTTAATTCTCCTGCCTTAAGTAGGTGCCAAACATCATTTCAGTGCATGCTATTTACTGTCTGCGGGTTTAGGTTTGGTTTAGGAGGGGGGGAAAAAAGTGTTCTTAGGCTGCTGACTTCCTGGCTTTTGAGTGTCAGGAATACATCTCTGTTTCTCTCCTGCTCCCATTCCTACAGGGCTGCCTAAGGTGAGGTTTCTCTGTGGGGTCACACAGGTCATAAGAATGGAGAAATGGGTCTTCAAAGGACCATCAGGAGTTCACCTGAGCCGTCAACAGCTGCCTTTAAAATTGGCATGGGCCATTTCCATTCACAAGAGTCAGGTGGGTGTCCTTATACAACTGTCTAAAGACTTGCACACCATCATAAGCCTTATTTCCTGGGTGAGCTTGCATTGCTGGTAAAACAGAAGGGAAAGCTGAAAGGCCCTTGTTGGGGGGGGAACTCCAGAATATGTGTGTTTAGCTGCACCTCATCTGCTCATGATGCCTGCCTATAGGGTCACAGATGGACTAGATACACTGCTGGAGTTTCCATGGGGTGCTGCCATCTGCATAGTTGGTGTTGGACTATAAAGCAGCATTATTTACCATTGTGGGCTGATGAGAGCAGTGTTTCCTTGAGAGTCATCGGCACTAGAGACCCTGAGGTTTACAGTATAACTGAGGCAGCTGCCAGAGCCACAGCTCTCTTTGGGCTGAACTCGCTCTTTGGTGGGGTGTGTTTGGTTTTTTTCAATGTAACAGTGTAACTTTCTCAAAGTTCCTTCCCTTCCAGAAGACTTCATACACTTTGATGAATACTGGTCTTGGAAACCTGTGAGTTTGTTCCCATGCCACTGCTTATTGTTCCTGTGCCACTGTTTAAACCAGGGCAGGCTGTAAATTCTGCTGTGCCCAGGACAGCCCTGCAGACAGGCCTAACCCAAACTCTCTGATCTGCCTGAGGACTGCTTGGGAATGGTGACTGCTCTAGTTAACTACTAGGAGTGAAACCAGCAGGATTTCTTTCCCTGCTGTGTTGATTAGATGGGATTTATGGAGTTTCATGCAACAAGAGGTTCTCTGGAGTTAGTGGATTCTACTATCTGCTAGCAATTTACTGACAGTAGGAAACTGCCTTTCCTTTCTGATTCTCATCTTTTAATCAGTTACACAGTAAAACAAAAGACTTCTTTGTTTTTTTCTTTTTTTTTAATCAAGCCCTTACACCAAGAACGGTACCTTTGACAGACTCACAGGTTAGTGTTGGTACAGCACAGTGTTCTTGTTTGTTTGTTCTGTAACAAAGTTCTCTGTGTCTTTGGCAGGGCATGTCTTTAGACTGTGTGGAAATCTCCCTGTCTCGTGTCTTTGAAAGTGGGCAGGCTTAGGTAGCCCTCTCCCGAGCCCGCAGCCTTGCAGGTCTCCGTGTTCTGGATTTTGACCCAAAAGTAGTGAGAGCTGATCCTTCTGTGCTGCACTTCTGTAGACAGCTGAGGCGTCATCAGCTTTTAACCCAGGTAAAGAAAAACCTCATGCTAGCAAAGCCTGCTTTGTGCTACCAAGATGAGAGATGTTGGCCCTGAGATGCTTCTTTTTCTTCCTAAGCAAGACCATTCAAATTAAAACTTGTAGTGGCAGGAGAGATGAAACTGCAGAGAGAGCATGTGGCAGGGCAGCTCTTGGTGGTAAAATAGCTACAGTAGTTTTGGGATTGTATAAAACTACCTGGCACTGTGGGTGAAAGGATAGGCTGGGATTCTTTGGTCTTCCTCTTGCAGTAAGGAATGAAGGGGAAGTGGGCACAAAAGAAATCTGTTCCTTTTTTTTTTTTTTTTATGTCTTCTTTCTCCCCAAAGGATTCACTACACACCTATTCAGATGCTGATGAGAAGGAGAATGTGAAATGCAGCTGATAATGTTCTCCTGGTTTCTGTGAAGTGTCAGCACAGACAGCTGAGATGCAGTGATCTTGCTATTGAGTATATTTGATAACACAGGTAAAGTCAAAGGAATTTTTTTAGCTGTTTGCTTCATTCAGCTGACTCTGGATATATAGAAGTATCCCCACCTTGTGCCTCTGGAATTTGGAAGGCTTCTGCAGCCCCCTTCTGAGCCCACAGTCCTAAGTAAGCACTTCTGTGTCACAGATGCAACTCTAGCAAACAAAATGACTGAACAAGGATGTTCCTGAAGGACTTTCCTATGGTTCTATCCTGCCTGCCTAGTTGCATTTAATCCTCCACATATATAGACTGAAACTTGTGTCCCTTTCTTCAAGTATACCACTGTTGTGAGATGGAAGGTGTCTGGATGGATTGGACCTGTTCACAGGAGCTGCTGACACAAGGGAAAGCAGTGCTAAGTATGTGGAATACACACTTGATTCTTCTGCAAGCAAGGAGCTGGGCTATTACTTTACAGCATGCTGAGGTGTTCCAGATGCTTGACACCAGGAGGCTTTGCAAAACTTCCTCCACAAGCAGAACTGCCAGTTACATATTGCTTGTTATGCTGATATGTAGTGTTTTTATTAGTCTGTTGCATAAGATGTGATTTTTATTTTTTAACCCTCTGAGATGAACTGGCACTGTTTAAAGACAGGAGGAATTCCTACATCTTATACCTGTAATTATGGAACTACAAGAATTGTAAAGGTCTGTTACTCCATTAGGGAGAAGATGGGTACTGGTGAGAGTTCCTCTTGTTAAAACATGAGGCTTGCTCAAATGAAAGTTGTCCCTGGAAAAAACCTGGAAGGTGGAAGTTTAGTGTGAAATAGGG